GGCACCATCAGCTTTCTTCACCGCATTTGCGTATGTATCCGCTTTGTCTTCAGCATTCGTGTAGGGGTAGGCTGGTTTGCTTCTTCCTTGTGGGTTTTGTTGTCTCTCAGCTAGATGGTGCTTGTTTATCTTTAGGTCTTTAAGGCTTCAGGTGGTATATCTTTTTTTTTTTTCAGGTGCTATATCTTTTGGTAGCTGGGCACCATCAGCTTTCTTCACCACACTTGCTTGTGTACCCATTAATTCTGTTTTTCAATGAACTTTTGGAAGCCTCCTCGTGTTGCTGGCTTTGTTTGCAGCCATCCACTGATAGCAGAGATACGTTCGAATGTGTTTGTTTGGGACAACCTCTGTATATATGAACTGGAACTGCAGTTGTGCTGTTTTTGATTAGGGTCTGATGAACCTCCCCCGTCTTATGTGCCAGAGGCATTAGAAGTGTTCCACTCCACTCAAGGCCTCCCTCAACGCAGAACACTGATAACCTGACATTCCGTGATGCTCACCTTCCCGACACCATCGCTGAAGACAAAATGGGTGCATAAGCAAATGTGAAGAAAGTGGATGGTGCCGGGCTTTCATGAGGGTAGGGGCGTGGTGGGTGGGAAGAGGAGAAAGGGGGAACCCATCACAGGGTTGGATATATAGCCCACCCCCTAGGGGGACGAAAACGGAAATGTGGGTGAAGAGAGACAACGGACAGTGTAAGACACAAAATAACAATAATATTAATTGATCAAGGGTCGTGAGGGTGGGAGGGAAAGGAAAAAGAGCTGATTGATTCCAAGGGCCAAGTAGAAAGAGGATGTTTTGGAAAAGTTGATGGCAACATACGTAGAAGTGTGTTTAATAAGCTGAATGAGGGATTGTCAGAGGATTTGTAAGAGCTCCCCAATCAAATGATGAATAAAAAAGTAATACTCCATAAAGACCAGCAGACGGCAAGCTTGCTCCTTGCCAATGCACTGATTCGCTTCCTTGGCTTCTGTTCTCCAGACAGTTCATTTTAAAGCTGCTTTCAAAAAACAAAAAAAATCTGCTTTCAAAAGTTCTTTAATTAGCAGCCCTTGCAGTGGAAAAGTATAGGTGATTGAAAGTTTCAAGGAGAATAGCTCATCTCCCTCCACCTTCCCTTGCCCACCAGAGCCTTTTCTCCCTCTCCTGAAATTTGTTGTGGCTTAGGTATGACTTTACAGGACAAGTTATTTCCCAATTCAACAGTTTATCCACATTTTATTTCGTAATATTAGTTGTAATCCCCTCGTACATAATTTTCATTTGGTCATCTCTTTTGCCCCTTCTTGTTCTCTGAATTTTGTTTTGGGCAAATGCTGCCCTTTGGTCTCATATGACTGACGTTTCCTGGGCACGTACTGCTAGCACGTGCTCTCTGTCATACAGGCCTATCTCGTTCTTGTTTGGCTGAAAGGTGAGCTCCGGGCGAGGGCTCAGTCCCAGGTTGGCGAGGTGTCTGGGAGCTGTGTTCTCGAGGGTTCCGCTCTGTCTGGGGCCTGTCATGTGATCCCCAGCAGGAGCAGATGGCAGTGGGAGCACTGTGGCCGGGCACAGGCGGTTCTTCTGGTGTAGGGCTCGTGGTGCGGGGGCGTGGGCCTGCTCCCGAGTCTGCTTTTCTTCCCGTGGCGTTGCTCCGGGCGAGGGGAGACCACAGTCCCAGCGTAGATGGCCATTTGCCAGCTTTGAAGAGCGTGCTTGCTGCTCTGCGCAGTAAGATCGAGAGAGCGCGTTGCCCGTGCGAGCTGTGACGCCAGCTGGCCTACGTATCCCTGAAGACGACGACCTTACACAGCCATGCTCAGCGCCTCTTTGGTCTTTCAGGGTGTTGGTTATGGCTAAGAAGTTTGCGTAACTTTGGTCTCCCTATATGTTCCGCTACATACATGGATCTATTTGCAGCACCTACAAGTACACATGTAGAACATATCCTTTGCCAAACTTACATATGTTCATGGGTACACTCCCTTATGCTACCCCATACCTGTTTAGTTTAACCTACCTCTGCAGCCACTCATACATTACTGTCGGCCATTACTGTCACTGAAGGATTTGGTAAACATCGTTGCTTTACTCTTGCGCCCTTGCGTCATCCTTTGCCGTGGTCATGCTGTGCAGACTTCCCTAGTGTTACTGCCTTCGCGCCACTCAAGGTGATTTTCCCTCCCGCCCTCTCGTGTCCCCGGTAACCATCAAAGAATGTCTGTTCTTTTGCGTCAACTTTGCCTTGACTTCCCCTAATATTGTTTACAGTTAGGTTATTTGACTCAGCCTCACACCAAAACCCCAGTTTCCCATGTTCTAAGATGTTTTGTGGATTCATTGTTAATCTGTAACACTGCGTAGTGCTCCATTGTTTATGCACTACAATTGATTTTCTCATTTCTTGATAGGCCAGTCTTTCTGTTCTTGTAAATGTGAACACAGGTATGCAATTGTCTATTTATATCACAGCTCTTTTGTAGGCTGGTTAGTGATGGGGTGGCTAGACCATACAGTATCTGTATCTCTAACATTTGAAGGAAGCAGCACAGTGGTTGTACTATTTCGCAATCTCATCGGCATTATAGGAGAGTTCTAATCTCCCCGTGGCCTCACCACTGTTGGTGGTGGTGTTGATCAGTGCGATTTTTGCTGTATGAGCTCTCCTCATTTTATTGATTTGCATCTCATTAGTGGTTAATTTATGCACGCATCTCTTCATGTAGTTATTGGCTGCCTGATTGATGTCTTTGGTTAAGTGTCTATCAATGTCTCTCAGCAAAGGAAATATTGGGAGAAATTTTACAGTTTTCTAGATTTGTATGTAAATGAGTTCTGTATGACATTGACTTCATACACAACGCACACTTGGTACTTTTGTTGTCTTGGCACAGATTGTGCCTACTAAACACACACCTGGGCCTTCTCTCTTGGCAGGTGAGCTGCCCCACCATGACGTGCTGCATGCAGCTTCCCAAGGCATCAGCGTCATCCTCTGTGAGCACAGCAACACCGAACGCGGCTTTCTTTCCGACCTTCGAGATATGCTGGGTGCTCAGCTGGAGAATAAGATTAGTATCATCCTGTCGGAGACAGATAAGGACCCTCTACATGTGGTATAACATGAACACGGACAACAGGTTCACACAGTCGAGCGACTGATTGAATCCCAGTTCAGTGCTGTCACGTGAGTTTTGGGGGTTGGTTTCTTTCTGGCATGCCTGAGAGTGCTAACCATTTCCCCCAATTCTTCCAAATAGCTCCTACGGTAAAAACCTAGTATAATTATTATATGAAAGAACAAATTTCATTATAAACTCTAGAAAATTGGCAAACATCTGTGTTTAACCTGTGTGGAAAGTAGCTCAAAGCAATCTCTCGTTGGCAGAATTACAGGCTGGCTGAGAAGCATGCTCCCACTCCCAGCAAGCGCTCAGTGTTAGGAAATGCCTTCATCGAGGGAGCTGGCCCAGAAGTGTGGGCTCGATGGGAAGCAGTGTCAAAGTGGAAAGAACAAGACAGTGGACACTTTGAAAGATCTAAGTCATTTATCACTTGCTTTCCATGCTTTGCTCCCAAAGAAACGTGGGAAGGCAGAACAAAAATGTGAATAATTACCATACACTGTGCTTCCACTACCATCGAGTTGATTCTGGCTCAAAACGACCCTACGCAACAGATAAGAGCTGCCCTCGTTGGTTGGCTGCGGCTTTGAGCAGACAGCCATCTCTCCCCAGAGAGACTGCTGGGGCAACTGACTGACCTTGGGCTGGGCAGCTCAGCCTGTCGCTCGCTCTGCCACCGGGACTCCTTCAGTACCTGGGAGGGAGACGCATAGGTGGTGGTATATAGAGATTTTTCTAGGAAAGAGAAAATTCAGTCGGGAGGAGAGGCTAAAAAATGTCAAAAGAAACAGCCTAATACTCAGAGGCCTTCAAAAAGCTTTGGGGAAAAAGAAAGATAAAAAATTTTTTCCAAAAATGAAGTCTTTGAAGCTCTCTCGTACGTGGAAAAAGCCCAAGCAATTCATTTGGTATTGCCAGGGTTGAAAGGCAAGTCAGGAAAGGGAAGGCATAGTATGAGAGGATGATGCAGAACTAACACAGCACGGGGCTAGGGGTCCACACTCGAGAACACTAGGGTAGCATGTGATTGCTTTGAGATGCTGGTTCACGATGGCAGTGATATCTCCTGTGAGGTTGAAGGTTATGGATTCATTTCTTTAGATAGCGCTCTGGTAAGGGATTGAGATGAAAGAATATACTTAAGACATTCTGTCCACTAACCTTACATGTATTGCTAAATAGATCTGAATACAGAATGACAATAAAACTTGTTTTTCTTAGCATGCTGTATTTCAAAATAAAAATATCTCTGAAACAGCCTTTTTTGTGTTTTAATTTTTTAGAATCCCTTTTATTGAGCTATAATGAACACCTCATACACTTGAGTAGCTTAGTCACTTAGAGGTTGTGCCGTCATCACCAGTCACCTTTGCGGCAAACCCACTGGGGCGAACTTCCCATCCCCACCCCCTTCCCTGCCCCAGAAACATTTCACGTAATGCCTCCTTCCTAAGTCCTGGCCTCCTCTGTAGTTTCTTTAAGGACAGTGAATCCCGGAAGATTGCACTACTCAGACCTTCGTCACAGGACAGAGCCGAGCTGCCCCTCAGGTTTCCAGGGCTGTAATCATGGGAGCAGCTGAATTTCTCCTGCTGACCCTCGTGTGCAATCCAGTGTGCAGTCACTGTGCCACGGGGCCTTTGCTGAAGTGTCGTTTTAGGATGGTGATGCTTGGTTGTCTCTCTCCTTCCTTCCCAGCTTGAATGTGCATGGAGAGTCAAACTGCAGATGGATTTAGTAGGTCTGGGCAGGGTCTTCAATGCTCACACTGCTGTTTGGAAGACTAGGCTTTGAGCAGCACAGATAAAGATCATGACCTAAACACTGGGAGGCTTAGAAGCAAAGTGATGGATAACAGATTATTCAGATGAATTGGTGATGAATTTTATTTTATGCTGACACACGGAAAGCTGTGTTTCCCATAGCACTACCAGTAAGTCATTTCAGATTTATTCGACACCTGAATGTTTTAATGTCACGAATACAGAAGGCCAATAGATGAAAATTTCCTATTTCAACTTCGTTTTCCTGCTGTCCAGCACCAAGTCTTACATAAGTGCTCAATAATGCAAATGGTTTAACAGCAATGTGAACAATCAAAACATGAAAGATTTTCCTAAGGGAGAAATCAAATCACAACCTCCATTCCCCCCACACATCATTTACATAATTTACTCATCTCTTGGTTTTTCAGAGCCACACAATGTGTGCTGAGGCCAACCGCCAGGACTCACTATATCACCTCACGGCTACTCGGGATTCCCTGAAGAGTCTACCTCCCAGAATGGAGGAAAAGGGACCCCAACCAATGCTACCGGTTCCACATTTAAAATAGCTAGAAACAATAGACTTCTAAAACATTCTGTTAGGAATTTTTTGTTTACACATGTCCAGAATTAGCCCCTGCATGTATGAACGGGAACCCTTTTGACAGCCCTGCTGGTGCAGTGGGTACATTGCACTGCTAACAGAAATGCCAGTTCTAAACCACCAGCTAGCTCCACGGGGGAAGATGGAGCTTTCTACTCCTGTCAAGAGTTCCAGTCTGAAACCCTCTGTCCTGTCCTACAGGGTCACTATGAGTCAGAATTGACTCAGTGGCAGTAAGGTGTTTTCCTTTTATGGATATAACTACTAGGCACCCTCGTGGTGTAGTGGTTACACATTGGGCTGCTAACAGCAAAGTTAGCAGTTCAAAACCACCACACGCTCCTCGGGAGAAGAATGAGTCTTTCTTCTCCCATGAAGTTAGTCTCAGAATATGCCACTGGCAGTTCCTACCCTGCCCTATAGGGTTCCTTGGGTTGGAGTCGACTCAGTGGTAGTGACTTTTTTGGCATATAACCACTAATCAAAAAATTTATACATGATCTTTTTAAAAAATTTTAATAGTATCAAAAAAATTCAGTGAAAAATAAGATTCCCTTCCTTCCTGATCCCTGTTCCTTAGGCAACCCCTGTTAAGTTTCTCAAGTATTCTTCCAAAAAGATCCTATGCATATGAAGGATGTGTGTGTGTGTATCCTTTTAAAAACAAGAGCATACAATACTTGCTGGTTTGCACCTTGCTTTTTTAACTTCATTTATCACTTAAAATATAAAGAAAACCTGTAATAGCCTAATGTATGATTTTTTTGCATTTTCTTTTAGTGAATTATCCTAATTTTTTTGTGTATTTACAAGCAATGCTTTTCAAATAGTATTAATCTTTAAAAATACCAATTTGGATAAGCAGCTTTTATTTACAGTATGGATTTCCAACAAGGTATGTATCTTAAAGTGTTTTCCTATGAAATTTGTGTACACCCATACAGGTCTGGTGAAAATCACAGCAGAATGACAGTATGTTCTTCATTAACTTGCTTTTTAGTATCCATGTTACCTTAACTTCTGTTGATTACTAAGGTTCAAATTTCATGTGCCAGCCACATTACTTACTTGCTTCTGACAAAATTGGATAGGCCATCTAGTTATGAGAAACCTTCTGAGTGCTCTTAATAAAATAAGACTTTTGAAAAACGATGGGGCAGTATGTAGATCAAGATATTTACCTTTATTTTTAAATGTGCATAGCAGTTTTATTCTTTTGTAACCTATAGGTTTTCTCTTAAAACAATTTTCTTATGTGAAGTAAATGATGGAGAGAGGTTGACATTTACCTTTTACAAACTTGGCATAATGCAGAAGACCTTATGCAAGGTATGCTACATTGGTTCTTCTAATTCTCAAAGAACTGGATTTCCTTAGAATTATTACTGCATATATGACCATCTCACTTATATAAAAATAATGGGTTTAGGGGTGGCTAATAGACATCGCTAAAAATTAGTTGGAAAACCTTTGGGAAGATTTTTTTGTTTTGTTTTGCAAGTTATGTTAGTCTGGGTAGACTAGAGAAACAAATTCACAGACTCTCATGTTCTGTATAAGAAAGAATTTTATATTAAAAAGCAATTGTATATTGAGAAAACATCCCAGCTCAGCCACCCAGATCAAGTCCATTAAGTCCGATATTAGTCCACGTCCGATACTAGTCTGTAAATTCCTCTTCAGACTCACATATCACAGGCAATGATGCTGAGTGCAGGAGATCAAAGGCCAATGAGTGGAAAGACTTGTGGATCCAGTGGCAGTGGAAGCATCTTAGTGCTGGTGTGGGTCTCCACATGCCTCCTCCAGCTCCAAGGCTCTGGCTCCCTCAGTGTAGCTCCATCTGATTTGTCAACAGGAATGTCTTGCAGTGAGACAAGCAGTAAGAATGTATGTCCCACTTTCAGCAAGGAAGACAGGAGTTCCCAGGATCCTCAGGAGAAGGCCATGCCCACAGAGAGGCTTCATTGGCTGTGACTTGATTGACAGGCTAGACTCCACCCCTTTGCAAGTTGACAGATTATGTAACTGTCACACAAGCCATGTAATTGACAAACTGCCATTAAAAAAAAAAGATTTTACCTCATTAGGGTGCCTTCAGAAAAAAGATCTGATCAAAACCCTGGCTTCTGAAGGGACCTGCTCCGCTAGTTCAAACCAAGGTGGTGCTGACTGCTTCCAACAGTCATCTTGATAGATGTTCTCAGAGGGTCTAGGATGATCATGGGGGCTGCTTAAGAAGAACGTTCCAAGAACATTTACAAGTGTGCTGGTTAGAAATAGGCCAAGAAAGTTGTACCAAGGAGTTTTTTCCTTTATGACGAAGCACCTGCTCATTTTTCAAGGTTAACGATTGGGGGGAAACCTCACCCCAACCCCCCAAACCAGACATTGCCCTTCAGGCCTTTGTTTCCCCAAACTCAGCATTTAAAAGGAACAAGATTTGAGTCCCTAAAAGATGTTTTGACATGGCCTATGAGGTACCTGCCAAAAAAACCCGGATTTATTTATTTTCCAAAGCTACCTATTTGTTTTTTGTTTTTTACAAAAGAACCGTATTACCTTCAAAGTACTCTCCATTACAGTTAACACATTTGTCAAATCTGTGATTCCATTCTTTTTTTTTTTTTTCATTTATGGTTTTATTTAGCACAAATAAAACTTGCAGATGGGCCATCTACTCATTTTCTTCGCTGCGCAGCCTGGCGTTGGGATTGGTGACTCTGATGGCCAGCTGGGCTGCCCTTTCTACAATGGCTTTGCGATTCTTGGAGGAAACGTTGTGAGCAATCTCTGCACAGTAAGACTTGTAGCACATCAGCAGCACTTCTAGCTCCTTGACGTTGTGGACCAGGAACTTGCGGAAGCCACTGGGCAGCATGTGCTTGGTTTTCTTGTTGCTCCCATAACCAACGTTGGGTATCAAGATCTGGCCCTTGAATCTTCTCCGCACCCTGTTGTTAATGCCTCTGGGCTTACGCCAGTTGCGCTTAATCTTGACATAGCGGTCGGATTGGTGCCGGATGAACTTCTTGGTCCTCTTTTTTACAATTTTAGGCTTCACCAAAGGTCTGAGGGCAGCCATGATGCCGGTGGGAGATGGCCCTGTGATTCCATTCTTAGAAACATTTTTCAAACTTATCTGTTTGGATGGGTGAGCTCTCGTTTTTTTGTTCACCTCCTCTGTCGTCAAATCGCTGTCCTTTCATGTCTCTCTTCATTCCAGGAAACAAAAAGAAGTCGCACGGAGTGAGGTCAGGTGTGTAAGGTGCCTGGGCAAGAGAGGCATGCTGTTTTCTGCCAAAATCTGGTGCACTGAGATGGCACCAGAGTGAGCAGGTACATTGTCATGGTGGAAAAAACAGTCCTCCATCTGCCACAAATCAGGCCTTTTTGTCGCACACTGTCAGCAATTGTCTCAGAACCTCTAACTAGAAAGCTTGATTAGCAGTGTAACCCGGTGGAACAAGCTCCTAATGCACTACAAGTCGACATTTTTGCTGAGAAATTGACATGTCCAGAACGAGGTTTGTCATAAATCAACATTTCATCTTTTTTGAAAGGAGAAAACCATTCGCACACTTGAGTTTCCCCCTTCGTGGTGTTCTTGTACACTGTGTGCAACATCACAACCGTTCCTGTGGAATTTTTCCCAAGCAGGAAACAAGATTTCACAGCTGCAAGCTATTCTCTTAAATCGGCCATCACAAAAAACCAAGGTTTGAACGAAGCTGCTTTTCCCAAAAAAATTTATTTACCAAAAAATTCAGTGACAAGAGAGAACTTCCCAGGTGATGCCACTAGGTGCACTAACTCAGGCAAGTTGCTTGAGGCTTGCCTCGCTGGAAAAAGGCATACTATGAAAGCTCCGCTTCACACAGTGCAATTCCGTTCGTGGTTTGGTTTTTTTTGAGGAGTGGGGGTGTGTACCTCCTTGTAAGTAGAAGGATCTTAGGGGATGGGCCAGAGAGATGGAAATACTGCTTTCAGAAGTGTACAGACCTTGAGAGAGGATATGTCAAGAAAGGACAGTTTCATATTTCAGTATTTTTTGTTTAATAAAGGGCTCTATTATTTAGTAGCAATACTTTTGGACTTACCCTTGTACTTAAGCCTATAACCTTCAATACATAAGTTTAGTATAAAATCATCTAATCATACCACAAAGAAATGATAGAAAATTCCGAGCATTTTATAAGAAGTGAATGACAAAATGCTGATGTAGTACGTATTTTATTACAGTGATATGTAACAATATTTCACTTCAAAGTAATATATCAGGGAGTATGCGGACTTTAAGCTGACAACAGTGGACAGAGTCGTCCTTTTTTCTTTCTTTTTTTTTTTTCATTCCAGAATCTTTATTGAGATCTTATGATGGCTTTTTTCTTTCCTAAGAAAATAGGCTCAAATAAATCTTTAGGAGGCTTGAAATTATCACTTTAAGGAAAAATGGAAATATCTTACAGTGATATCTTTAGATTTATTGATTGCAAAATCTTTAGAGCCTGCTATTAAGATGCTACTCACCTGCATGTTAATCAAGAAAAATAGCTAAGAATCCTGCCATGTTTTTATAGTGTCACCTTGAAACCAATGACTAACTTGCAATTCCGGGTTTCATTTTTCTCGTCTGGCATCTCATTTGTATTATGTGTGCATCCCCATAAACTCCTTATGCTTTCTCCACGTCCCCCTGCTCCCCCTTTGTCCACCAAGTAGGGAGCTGCCATTCAAAGCGAAAGCACGATCACCCGCTTCTTCCCAATCCGAGTCTCGTTGGCCACTTCAGAAGCAGGAGCAGACGACCGTCTTCTCTGCTGCACTGTCAGTTCACACACACAACAGCAAGTGGACGGTGCCGCATCTTCAAGCCCTCCACACCAGGACCAGCATGTTTGCAAACAATCTTCTCAGGAGTTTTAAAAGACTCTCATGAAATTAGGAATAATATCATTTCTCGTATAAAAGGATTAAAAAGCATCCAGTTCCAAGTAGTCCCTGAGCACACTGTTCATTCCAGCAACCAGTCTCCCGAGAGGGAATGAGTGAAAGGCACATTTTCACCACCTTGAGGACAGCTGCCTCGTATGAGAGATGTATACGGGGGCAGGGCAGTCACAAGTTCTGATGGGTGAAATTCTCCAACTTTAAATCCTGTACATTGGAAAAGTAATGTTGATGTAAACACACCACTTCTGTCTACAGAAGTCCGCAGCTGGAGCACAATCTTCCACAGAAGGTTCAACAGTGAAGGTAACTTTCAAGCCTCCTCTTCTTGCTTTTCCAGGAAATCAGTCAATGTTCCACTGTCAACAGAAATTAATAAATACTCCACTCCATCAGTCCCCTAAAAGACATAAGGCCACTCTAACGTTAGTCATTCATAAGAGAGAGGGTGGGCATTTCTACTGTGGACGACAAAGAAGTTGCCTTTTTAATGGTGCATTTGATATACTATGGAAGTATAAAAATTAAGGCAATAGGCCACACATGCATATATTTGTTTAAACACCACGAGTTTATGTTGCACCACTTAATAGAACAGAAAATTAACACTTTCTGAAATCTTAGTTGAACTAGTGTGTGGGTGGTAGTGGTAGATGCTGTCGAATCAGTTCCCAGTCAGCAACTCTGAGAAGCACAACCGAACGGAGTGCTGCTCAGCCCTGCATTGTGCTCACAGGTTGGCCGAGTCTGAGCCAAAGTGTCACCACTCTTGCTTCTAAGGAGCATTCTGGCTGTACTTCCAAGATAGATTTGTTTGTTCTGACAATCCATGTTATATTGGGATATTTCATATCCATGGACAACACCACAATTCAAAGACTAGTTCTTCTTTAAGAAGGGAAGTACTTATGTTTATTTATCTAACATGCTTTCGCTATTTCTTTACCTTCCTGCTCTTTATGAAAATGTATATTGTTTTTCTCCCTTTCAACTGGGTTCCTTCCCATTGCCTTTTAAATAGGTTCAAATGTCTTCCATTTAAAATAACTCATTAGACCCCATTCCTCTCCAAATGTTCCCCTTATCTCTTCACGCATGCCTCCCAAACTTCTTCTACGAGTTGTCTTTCATAGCTGTCTCTTCCACTTCCTCACTTCTCACTCAGCCAACTAGCTTGAGCTCCACTGACACATCTCCAAGAGCTTTACCCTAAACCACCGAACGATTCCACATCCTGAAGCTCATGACTGTCTGCAGCCCGCATCTTCCTGTCCTCTCGGCAGCAGCTGACACCGGTGGAGTGTCCACTGTTTCTCAGTCCGTGCTTCTCACTGGGCTTCTCGGACATGATATCCCGGTGTGGCTCTCTTGCTCTTCCTGTCACCCGTGCAGGCTCAGCCTGAACTCGACTGCTAATGTCAGACTTCTTTTGGGCTTAGTCCCTGTCCTTCTCACTCTACCTACTATGTAGTCTCGCCCAAGCCTGGTGTCAGTTACAAGATAAATATATATCATCATCTTGTATCTTCAGTCCAGAATTTTCCGCTGGGTTCTTATCCCGTGTTTCCAGTTACTATGATGAAAGCTCCACTTGAAAATCATAAAAGAATCTCAGGGAAAGTGGGAAAGTCTTATACTGAACATGTGATCCACTCTCCCACCGCACGTGTTGCTCCTCCAATTTCCCATCCAATGAGCCCACTATAGGTATGGTTCTGCAGACAGAAACCAGGGATCCCCCTCAACACTTTCCTTTGGCTTCTCTATCTAATCTGTTATCTATTCTGCTGTCCAACTTGATATTGAATCAACCCAAATACTTTCTCTCTTCACCCAGGACAAGTTACCATCACCGTACCCAGGTTACTGTAATGACACCTTCCCAGCTGGTCACTATGCATCCACTTTTGCCAATCCCCATCCCACTCTGTCCCATTACACTTTACATCAGTATCAGAACAATTTTTTTAGGACTTTACATTGCTTTTAAAACAGATTAAAATCCTGATCTTGGCCTAAAGGACCTGAATGGTCCAGCTCTTAAATCACTAGCAGTTCAAACTCATCTTTTGCCATCTGGCCGTCTTTTTGTTTCTTGTTCGCACCATGTTCTTTTCTGCCTCCTGGTCTCTTCACATGCTGGTCCTTGGCTGGAATATGCTTCCTTTACCTCTCTGACTTGTTATTTCCTAATCTTCCTTTTAATCTCAGATCAGTGGTCTTCTTTGATAACCATAATTATATCAAACTCCCCTATTCTATGCTCTTACATTTACCTTCTGATAGTAGAACTTAACCAATAATATTGTACATATGTGTGATTATTTGACTAGTGTGTGTTTTCCCCTTTAGAATGTAAACTACTTGAGAAAAGCAACCAAGTTTTTGTTTACTACTGTATCTTAACACTTAGTATATTATCTCAATAAATACAGACAAAATTAATGAATGGCTTAGAGGGAGGAAAGAATAAAATCAACTGACTCAGAACAGGTATGCCTCAGGGATATTGCAAGATCAGTTCTCGACCACTTCATTAAAGCTAATATTGCAGTAAAGGGAGCCACACAAAGTTTTGGTCTCTGAGTGTATATAAAGTTATGCTTATGAAAAGGTTTGAAATACATTGAGAATTAACAAAATGTGACAGAAACACAAAATGAGCACAGAAAAAAACACCACCACTAAGGCTGTTTGATCCAGAGTTGCCACAAAGCTTCAACTGGTAAAAAGCGCAGTGACTGGGCCGCGCGCGTTAGTGAGGTGTGTCTGTCTATTTCGAATGGCCTCTTACTCTTGACTGGAACTCCTAAGGCGTCTTCTGCTTTCTTTGAAGCAGAGTACTCCTCCCACCTCACTTTCTAAAGAACTCAAACGGTATCCTGCCCAAGTGGACCCTGGCGACCCATTATGGAAGCACGGTTTCCTGCTCCGGTCTGAGCCATGGACACTGCCTTCAGGAAATGAGATACAGACCCCCGTCCTGACATATGCAATAATATCAGTCTTACCTTCTTCGTTCTTATAAGCTTATGGTCCCGAAACTCCGTTAACTGGGCCCGAAGCGTTAAGTCACTGTTGACAAGGAAGGCTTCTCGACACCTCTGGTAAAAGTCTTGAAAAGAATGTCCTGCAGAGGTCAAAGAGAGATGTGACCACGGTCAGTGTGTAGGACATGGTCCCAGAGGTGTGAGCACATCACAGAACAGAGAAAAACATGCTGGTGGTGCGGTATGTCAAAGCAATCAGTAAGGGTTGCTGATTTTTTAAAAAGAATATCTCTAGAAGCGAGACTAGTGGACACTTGAGTGCTATACATTTGGCTTCTATTTAAAAAATAGAACCAACTGGTTGAAAATAGTCCACTGTGTCTAAGTCTAATAAATCCTCTGGAAAATGTTAAACAACACAGATAAGGTTGAACTTCAAAGAGCGAAATTTGTAAATCAGGAGAAACAATTATTAAAATGTTTAACTAAATTAAAGCATATCCTTCTCCCAAGGGGAAGAAAATAACCTAGTCCGTCCAGCATATAGAAATATGCCAGCGGTGGGCGTACATTCATAACTGGCATATGGAATGTTAAGAGCAGGCTGGATTTGTTTTCAGTTCTGTTCAGCAATGAGGTGTGTACAGCCCCCATCAGTCCACTGAGGGAACTGCAGTGCTGTTGGCTTCCAGAGTAGGACGGTATGGGATAAAACAAAGCCATACAATGACAGAGATATCAGATACCAATGTAGGATGGGTTATCCTGGTTATCCAGCTGGTACTTTATTAGAAGCCTGAAAATCCCCCTAAGGAAACAAACAAACAAACAGGAATTCAAATCCATAATGTTAACATTATAAGATACAGCCAGTTATAAACTATACACATATAATATGTAATTATCTTATGTTCATTTCTCAAAAAAGCATTATATCTGCTTACTTAAAGAGGAACTTTCAAAACTTTCCCAGTGATATCATCTAACACAAACTTAACATTTCCTTAATAGTTTTGGATTTCACATAATTTCCAAATTTGGAAGATTAAAAGTAAATAAAATTGTATATATTTATTAATTTATCAAGTTATTTCCTGAGGAGAGTTTACCATAAGTGGAATTATGGAACTGAAAACAGTGTTGCACAAATTAAAATCCTAAGGAATCTTTGTATGTGCCAAAGTAATTTAAACTTTTACACTTTCATTTTTATGGTAATTTGGGAGATAATTACTATAGGCACATCTTGAATCATCTGACTGACTACCTTATAATTAACTATTGCTACATGACTCTAGGACTGAATTTTAGCTAAAATTTTGATTAACACATTCATACTAAATAAAGGCTACATGATATTGAAGTTTATAAAGTTAAGTGTTAGAGCCTAGTATACAATTTAGGCAATAAAAGCTAAAAGATTCTAGGTCTCCAAAGAGTTCATGGAAAATGCAGATTATGAAAAAACTCCATGGATCTCAACTTTTTAAAAAAATCAAAATAAACCTGTAATAACTTACTCTAACAGGTCTAAGCAGGATCTAGTTTGAAGGATAAGGTATCAGTTTGAAAATAGGCACTAACAAGACAACAACAATTCTGCTAAAATTGAAGTAAATTTATGATGAAGCCCGAGCAGAAGAGTGAAAACATATCATCGAAGCTTTACGAGAAGTTTATGGGGACAATGCCCCAGAGACAACAGCAGCTTACAAATGGATAACTTGTTTGAAGAAGAGAGAAGAAAATATTAAAGATACAGCCCATTGCTGGAGACCATATCAATTTAAGAGGAAAAAATCTTGTGCATGTATCTAATTGAAGAGGCCCAATGATTAAGAGCAAAAACAATAGCCACCTTTCACAAGACTCAGCTTATACAAATTTAACTAAAAAATTAACATTGAATCAACTTCCCACTTGGTAGGTACCAAAACTGTTGCACTGTTAGATCAGCTCAAACAAGAGCAGCGTTTACACTGGAAAGTTTAAACCAGTAGAGTCAAGACCCGGAAACATTTCCTGGAAGAAATGTTACAAGAGATTAAGCCTGGTTTTACCAGTACAATCCTGATGTCAAAAGCAAGGGCTGCCACGAGGTGGAAGTGGTCCAGTCAAAGTGAAGTGAACCAGTCAAGAGCAAAGGGGATGACAGTAATTTTGAGGGACATTCCTGAGGGAATACCAAAAACAGACTTTGGGGCCAGGGCGTGGCACCCGTTCAGACTCGACTGGAAAATACTCCTAAACATCAACAAACAGACCTTGAACTACTTACAGGCTTTTCTTTCTTTTTTTTTTTTTGGTCATTGATTTTTTTGTTTTGTTGTCTTGTTTTTTGTGCATATGATTATCTCTGCAGGTCTA